TATATTATATATATATATATTATATATATATATATATAAATGCATAAGTTATATAAATTCCATGCTGCCGGCAACTCGTTTTCGCTCAAATTCGCAGTTATTGTATCTTTAGTGAAAAAGCATTACTTTGCAGATTTACGTTTACAAAATTATCTAGATAATAAGAATTGTGTAGAAATCGCGCGTAGATATTAATAGAAATATACATATATATATATACATTGCGCATGTAAATATGCATTTGTTACGGTTTGAAGTGTTTTAAAATGTAGTAAAAAAAAAAGGATCCAAATCTTACAAAACACGTAAATTCAACTTTTAAGTAATCCAATCGAAGATTCGCGTCACTCGAATTCTAAGTTTCAATATCTGTTATATACGTATTGCAATAAATCTCGATATATTTTTGAAATATACATATCAGTGTCGGAATAGACAAAAGAAGAACAACAACATCGTTTTGAGCGGATACGAGTTGATTTTTGTTTTTTAAACGGATGTTACAGTAAAAGCAGAAAGAAATCCATATACATTTATTGACTTGGTGAATGCATGCGTTTACTAAGTAAAATTTACAAGTACATTTTGCTAGCAATTCCAAACTTTTACTGTAACACAATCGTAAAAAATATCGAACTTTTGGTTTTACAATATCTAAGTATATGTATAAAAGAACAAAGATGTGTAGTCTTAGGTTTGCAGTATTCATGAATTCGTATTTTTCTGCAATGCTGTCCATTTCATTTACATACGCTCAGTGATGAAAAACGCGATGTTAATTTGTCAAACCTGCGAGAGAGAAATTATTCTTTATCTGAAATCAAGATATTTATGTCACATTTGTATGTCTACGTATACTGTGAATAGATAACATCTACGTTTAAGCATAAAAAATAATTCTCTTAAACGCAGGATTACATTTCATCAACGTAACGTATTTCCAATTTACACATATTATTTACACACGTGAAATTTTCATATTCTAGAAACTGCAACACAAAGACAAATGAATAAGAACATAGAACACATTAGAAAACTTAGTTATTATTTTTGTATTAGTCATCCAACATATACGCGCATTAACGTCTGTATTTATTTATCACTTCTTGCAGTATCCTTATAGCCGACAACCGCATTTGAAAAAATCACGTCATTATTAATCATATTATTATTAATATATTTTAATTTTTTGAGTCTGACATACTATTATCTGTGGAACATCTTATGACAAATGTTTGCTTTACTCATTTGTAAAATTAAACATATTCACGAAAAGAAACCATTTTTACATATAAATTTTGTGCAAACCCACTTATATAATATATATATGTATATTGTATATATTGCTGAAGTTTGTTTTTATACATATGTACGATCGCGAACACATTTGTGTGAAACATTAAAAGTGCAGCATAAAATGTAATATTTTTATCTCTTTCATATTTTTGTGCGATTATTTATGAAATTTGTGCAATTGAAAAGACAAATTTTCGTTCAAAAATAACTGAGGGAAGAAAGTTAACGAGAATATATTGAAACGGTATCAAAAATTTGCGTAAATCATTTAATTATAGTAATATAGAAAGATTTAATATGAGGATTATATCATATCTTATCATGCATTAAGTACAAGAGGTATAAAGATATGGCCGATATTTTGCAGACACATATTAGACAGTTAATTAACTTCATTCGTGCCATATAAGTGCGTTTACATGTTCGTTGAAATTTAGTTTCAGCAAGGTTTCGTAATTTTTATCGTGTATATATAAATATTGTTTTTACCTAACAGTTTTTACGATTTAAGCTAAAGTCACTGCCTTTAGTGTAATCAATCCGAAAAACGTAAGACTTGAGAGAAAGATCCACTAAATGAGTATGTGACACGAACTAGCAATTTTCGTTTGCGTTATCGAAACGTAATCGCTACTATATTTGCGTTATTATTTGTAATAAGTTAAAAAAGTTCAGGCAAATAAAGAGACGTTGAATATAAGATATGCCCAAGTGTAATGCAAAATAGATTCTGTCATATATATTTTATTCCGAAATTATATTGATATATTTTCTTTTTGCTATGTTTCATTATTATATAATATCAATATTTAATAAAATATACGTATATATATCAATGTGCATATGTTTTATATAATTTTCTTTACATATAAAGTTTTTGTTTAAATATATCACTCGAGGAGAACTTGTGTGAATTGTTTGCCTTCAAGAAATAAATAGTTACATAAAAGATAATAAAGGAAACAGAACCCATTGCACCGATTTTTAGTTTTATTTGTTTATAATAAAAATAAAATCGTTTTGTAAATTTTTTTAAATTGTTTTTTTACAAAAATCTTAATAACTTATCTTTTTCTGTATCTCACATTATTTACTCTAATACAGTAGTCCTGGTTACTGCAATTTTATATACAAACTGTAGATTAGAGAAAGTAAACAATGAATTCTTCCTCTCTTACAACAATTTCAAATATGTTATTTTGCGTCAAACGCACTAATAAATTTATTTATTGCGGGATAATAATACAAAGCCATACTCATAGCAGCCTAAAAACATAAAACTCTTGTAATAACGTACATATATTTAATAATTAAATGTGTATAATAATAAAAGAAGTTAATACGTACTTGCTTTGTACTTATGCTTAAGCCCGTGGTGTTTATTGTGTACTTGTAAGGTAATACTGCATAATGGTTACTGATACTCAGTGAAGAATCTAGATCGCAATCGTCTAGATCGCGAATAACTTTTTCCGAGACATTTCTCAAAAAGTAACCGTCTTTTCTGTTACTAAAAGGCTGTTTACAAACAAAGTTTTTAATATTGCTTGTTTACAATTTCAATTTATGTTTGCTTATTTTGAGTTTAAATATACACACCTCGTCCTGCCACAATGCTTTATAAATATCAAGCGCATAAATAGATATAATGTGAACTTTTTCTTTGTATATGTTTGCTGGCAGAATTTGACGAAAATGTGAACTCATTTCGCGATATCTGTAAGAATTCAAAGCTTTTAGTAAATAACAAAAAAAAACAAAAGAGTAACATTGAAATACAGTACTTCAGTACCTCAACAACAACGTACAAACTCTTGACAAAATGGCACAGCTTTTTGTAACAAATGCTCCGTAGATAACCGCTGGAGGTGCCAGTGTCCAAGATACAATGTGACTACGGCTTTCTAACGTGCAGATCTTCAAAAAGAAAAGCAAAAAACAAAACTAAATAGACAACAGTAATGAAGTATTTGTTACTTCAATTTTAAATATATATATCTGAATTATTTTTTTACATGTTGATTTTCGCGCATACCTCTTCATAGAAAGTTAAACTTTCCGACAATAACACAACATCATATTTATGTATGTTCAGTCCGTGTACAATAAGATTTTCCGATATCATTGTAATCACAGATACTATTTCGGATAAATTTTCTAATGGCTTTTGATGTAAAAAACATGATACGTTTGTGAACGATTCTTCAAGTCCTTGTCTAACAAACTGTAACCAATAAAATTAATGTAACATACTCATCTTTTTAAATAAAATAATCATTCTAAAAACTATATATTTTTTAATAAAAACGTTATAAAAAAAACAATATTGACTCTTACCAAGTTTGTAATCAGTTTCCCCAAAGATTTAATTATTTCACATTTCATAGCTAAAGTCGATTCAAAAAATATATTTCGTACATGTATCAGAATATTTTCTCGTAACTCTGGAAATAAAAAAGCTTGCAATATATCTATGACAATGTTCAATCAAATAGAACACACACACACATTTCGATTATGTACCAGTTACTGTTATAGAAGTCATCCATTCTAACAAGTGCAGCATCTTCTGAAGATGTTCTCCTGTATTGTAATACAGAAATTCGTCGAAGAACAATTTGGTAACGAGAACTCCCTCTTGCATATATCGAGAGAATTCGACCGTCATGGCAAGAAATTGATCCATTTGTTCCTCAGAGAACTTTTCTCTCTCCAATATAAATGCTTAAATGATGACAAAATATTAATTACAATAGTGTAAAAAAATTATAAGTTTTCAAATATGCATCATGTTTATGTTCAACTTGCTTTCTTTTCTAAATAAATATCCATAAATATACACGTACCTCTTATCAGTGTATTGTAGAGATTATATGAAAATCTACTTTGATACTGAATATCAGCATAGGTAAGAAGATGATATCCGGCCATGTTTGTCAAAAGTGAAATAGCTTTACAAGGTAATTCAACATTTTGATGATACTTTCCTAAGTCTTCTATGCTAAAATATATACACACTATGTGTATTATGTATTTAATGTGTCAATATTGCACATTTCAATGCATATTCCGATTTAGTGCGCTCACCTGTTTATATCAAAAATCAACTTTGCGTTTTCGCTTTTAAAAATACTCGAACCAATATGAAAATATCCCACAGAAGGCAGAAGCTCCAATTTTTTTTTCTTGGTTTTCTACACGCGTACATAAATGCATTTTTATTGTCTATCCATATGAATCATTTAACACAGAACTGCATGTTGTATTTTAACATAAGAGAAATTTTTATACCTGCGCTACGTTCCAATTAAAATAAGTTTGAACGCTTTGAGACTGTTGAATTTCTGCGCGATCCCTGGCATCCTCTAACGCTACTCGCATATTCTCAGGTATAGGTTTCCACACACTTTCTATATTCACGGAGTTTATTTTTTCCGGCACTAATTCCGGTTTGTACGACTTAAATAAGCTAAGAGAACATTAATCAAAATGATTAATATCATCAATGACAAACGTATATAATTTTGTAATCATTTGTGCTTACAAAAGTAATGCAGTGATATGTGCGCGAGGCTTAGAATACTTCTTCTGAAGATTCAGTAATCTTAAGACATCTCGTCGAGTAACATCTTCTGGTCTTGTTGACACATAGACGAGACGTGCTAGATGACGTTCCTAAATTTCATATCACTTATAGTTAATAAAATAATCAAAATACATATTTCATCAATTTTTTCCAATATTAATTAGGACAAAAAGATGGCTTATATCTCACCAGTTTTTCCTTCTTGAGCATCATGTAGAAAAAAACATCATAATATATGCTGATTAATCTTCTATCCGCTAATTCATAATCCCACAAGCCTGAACATAAAATAAATTACAAAGTTATACTTTTTTTACATTATATTTACACAAACTCTCTTTATGATATAAATTTCGCAAGAAATTACATTACCTATGATCCATTGTACAATGAGTGTAGAAACAGTAACTGATAGATCAGTTGATACACACCAAATAATCATAGACTTTGCTATTTCTTTAGGTACCTTGTATCTTGGAATGAGACATTTCATCAACACTGTCGCTTTGGTTGCACCTAACATATAAAATACAAATTTATTTGTGATGCAAAAGAATCAACGCTTCCAAATTTACAACATAATACCGTATTAATTTTTAGACTAACTTAAGTCTGTATGTAAAATGAGATCCGACAGCTTCTGAAGAAGATCATCATCCAATCCTCTTGTAGCAGCTTCTTCTTGTAAAATGGCAACGGATACGTTAAAATCACGAAATCTGTTTGGGTTTACTGAAAGAGAAACAATTTGAAATTAGTGATTTTTTCCACATAAATATAAAAATACTTGTATCTACTCACACTTGAAACGTTTGATAAATTCCGCGCACGCTTCCTTCCTCTCATCATCGCCCATTCTGATGATTTGCTCATAAACACAAATTCGTTGGCCGCGTTCAGCAGAACTCAGCGCTTAGTAAGCGCTTTACGCTTATTGTCTGTGATTGGTCTCTTCTTGTAAATCCGCTGCAAATATGAAAGTATATTCCAATGACAAGCAATAAGCGTAAAGCGCTTACTAAGCGCTGAGTTCTGCTGAACGCGGCCGTTGTCAGGTTGACGAGAATCATCTAGACCGGGGAATATGTAAACAGATTTCGAAAAACATGCCGTGAGATCCCACCGCCATCGGCGATTTCAAATCGACACGCGTGCGCAATGTATTCAGTTTTTTTCGCGAGAACCCCGGCACTTCGGTAAATTACCCAAATCTCGATAGATTCACTTTTTCCGGCCTGGTTTTGTCATTATATCTCGGCAATTGTTAAATCAACGAATCTACAAAGCCGGGCCTTAATTCTTGAAAAACTTTCGTATACGCAAATTGTTCAAGAATCGAAAAGTCTTGTTGATATGTCACCCGCGTACGTATAACCTCTCGTACCGGAAGAAAATTCCCGCAAACCGATCCGAGGAACGAGCTGATTCAAATCCTTGAAAACGGTCCGGAACTTCTGTTTTCAGTTTCCGCTCTGTGGCTCCGGCCAAATCCCGCCAAATTGCAGGTCTGTTCTTTTTCAACAGCGCTTTCGGTGCACTTTTGGCACTTGAAAAACCGTGACCGAAGTAACACGTCACGTGACAGGGAAGAGAGAAAAACAAACACGTGACTTTATTTTAGTCGCATGTTTTTTTAAAAACGTGACTTTACGTCTCGCGCGTCTTGTGTATTTTCTTTCTTCCATTTTTAAAGACACGCGACCGAAAGAAAATCACGTGTAGTTTTTCCTCTCTTCCCTGTCACGTGACGTTACTCTGGTCACGTTTTTTTAAAGACACGTGCTCTCGTGGCTTTTCGGATTTTTCTCAACTCGACATTTGTGCACACAAGCGCATAGAATTCCATTCACCAAGTTTGGACACCGACAAATTGTTGGTCGTGGACATCGCTTCGTAGTTGGCTAATGTGCACCGTCCGTGGACATACGCTGGCTTAGCGGACGGAAAAGCGATCGCAAAAACTCTTACGAGCGCTCGCAAACAAGGACAACGCGGCATTGTACAACGCGTTGGCAAATCAGCATTTTACTCTTAGGCCTGGTTTATGCGAGCAATAACTGTTAACTTATGCCGGAACCGGTAAAGTTTAACTATATGATTTTAATACTTCTGTTTATACGAAATTGCCGAATGCGTATAAACAGAAGTATTGGAATCCTATAGTTAAACTCTACCGGTTCCGGCATAAGTTAACAGTTATTGCCCGCATAAACCAGGCCTTACAGGTAAGTACAACGTATTTTCCATAAGAGCAAATATGCTGATTGGCTACCGCGTATGTACGTAACGCATTGCCGCGTTCTGTCTCCGCGAGCGACCTATGGAAACTGGTCGCTCTCATTATTCTCTCCGATAAGAGTAAGATAGTTGTGACGTCTACGTGAAAGTACCTTTCTATGCTTAACACTGAGGTGAAATACACTAGGCGTCATTAAATATTTTCCACTCACTCTCGTGTTACTCATCAAAGACGAAGGCTGAGGAGAAGGCAATGGATGGCAATGGTTTTCATGGTGTTGCTCGTGTTATATATATATATTTGTAACATAGTTGAGAGATAATAAAACGCGAGATTCTCGAGACCGCACGAAGAAGTATCGTTTTCCGCGAGTCGTCAAAACAGTTTTGCGTATTGGAGTAAACCAGTTGCGATGGCCGAAAATCGGGACGCGATACTGGCTGACTTTCAGGTAAATCATTCTTAATACTCATCGCGCGACTTTGTTTGCACATTTGCAAAATGCTTTGTGTTAGGTTAGGAAAGTTTCGTGCGATGACATTGACAATAATTGGATACATATTTGAACTGAATTTTTTGCTCGCGAGGTTTCTATATTATACAGGGATTGTTGCAGCGCACTCGAAACTTCGATCGAGCGATCGAACGTGCGCTACGTATTTTGTCGGATTCTGAATTGTCATTTGCGAGCTTGACAAAATTCGCTCGAAACGATTCGTCGTTCTTTGTCACGTCATTCCACACATGTTCTTTGTCCGGAAGATTAAAAAAAAATTCTCGCACCAAAAAGCAACTGTCATTAACGTGTCCTGCGTGCAGTTTGTTGACACACGTGTTTGATTTTCATTTTAAACCGAATTCAAAACTTGGGTTTTTGTTTTTTTCTTTTTTTTTTTTTTTTTTTTTTAATTTGAAACTGCGAATGTGTTGTTTCTAGGCTTGCACTGGAATCGATGATTTCGGGGAAGCTATTTTGTATCTGGAAGAGACAAATTGGGATTTGTTGGTAAATATAATTCGACAATTGTTTCTCTGCTTTGTCAATAATTTAATACGTGGAATCCCGCGGTATTGAGATGTGTTTGTTTCACACAGGCTGCAATAAACAAAGCTATGCCTCAAGGTACGCAACAGTTACCTTCCGAAATGGCTCCGGACATTGAAATGGTGGAGGAAATTAAAGCAATACCACAGTCATCTTCAACAAAGTTACAAGCCATAGCTCAGAACACAAAAAAGCTAATAGGTAATACGCCAAAAGTTGTATCAGATACAGCGGAAAATGCGAGACCTGGGACAAGTAGACCTAAGAGCTGTATGAGGAATAGAACACTTACATTCCACATTAATTACCTTGATAATGATTATAAGATAAATCTGTCTGAATTATCCACTTTGAGTAAGTATAGATTGGATCTCAATATTGTTGAGGATCAGTATCCGTCAGTGTCAGAAATCTAGAACAGTTGATGGATTAAAAAGCGCAAACATTCAAATTTTTCAGAGGATCTTAAGCAGCTTATATTCCTCAAGACAAATGTAACACCGTGTCAACAAATACTTCACGGATGGAAGAAGGAACCACAGACATTAAATACGGTATTACAAACGTTAGAGCTGCCTAGGGAAGTCACATTGTACCTGTCATCAATATCACAAATTGGTGACTTGGCTAATGATACGTAAGTTGTAAACTTTTGTCAGTATAACTTTGCAGTTTAATAATATATATATATATATATATATATATATATATATATAAGCCAATCCTTTGTTTTTTTTTTTATCAAGGGTGAGCCTGTCGAGTCGCATGAGTCAGAATTACACATTGAATGTGAAAGATGAGGTGCATAATGAAACATACAAGTTGAAGTTTCCTGGTACACGTACCGTATTGGAAGTGAAGACAGATGTGTATTCGTTAATAGACGTGCCGGTACGAAATCAACAGTGGAAGGGTTGGCCTAGTTCTTTAAAAGACGATAATGTAATGTTGGCACAAAGCGGTATTTGTTATCCGGAACATGATTTGTCAGTCGGGAAGCTACCTTCAAAAGAAGACAAGAAGGTTGGTATACGCTTTAAGGATATACGAAAAAGTATTTGGTAACACAAGTTTGATGTTTGTGTCGTTTCGCAGAAAGTTATAGATCTAGTTGACAGCGATAGTTCCATAGACGAGCAGGAAGATGTAGAAGAATTCGAACAATTTCCTGAACCGTTTAACGTCGAGGACGATATTTTCATAGACGATGTTAAATCTACTAAAATAGAACGTCTTAGTGAGTAAATTAGAACGTAAAAAAAAAAAAGATGCTGTTATCATAATAATTACTATTGTTGTTATGGCGTAACGTTGCAATAATTTTTTTTCTTCTCACAGTGCCAGAAAATGTGGTGGACGAAGTAATGGGTACGTTACATTTCGCGGAACAATTCGAAAAGCGATACGGGCCAGCACATCCAGAATTTTTTGCCGGCACATTTGAAGATGCCTTGAAAGAGTCGTGTCTAAAACCAGCAAAAGAGGTTTGTTGCGAATCTTGTTGCGTTACGCGAGTAACGCCATCATCAAGAAAAATAATATGTAGTTGATGTTTTTGTAACGTTGCAGAGAAAATTACTGGCTGTATATTTGCATCACGATAACAGCGTATTAGCGAACGTTTTTTGTACTCAATTGTTAGGCTTCGAAACGGTGCTTCAGCTTCTTTCAGCGAATTTTATAGTATGGGGTTGGGATATTACATACGAATCGAACAAAGAAAGGTACGAATGTTTTTTTATATCTTTAAGAGACACTTGTGTGTAAAAAAAAAAAAAAAAAAAAAAGAGAAAAAGAAATCAATATACATAGATACAAGTATTTAACAACAAAAACAAACAAAAATTTTGTTCGACCTTTAGGTTTTTGCACTCTGTAAATCAAACCCTTGGTACCGTCGGTTCATTGGCTGTGTCGAGCATAGACGTTGATTCCTTGCCAGTTCTCATGATTATTATGAGATCTAGATCAAACACAGAGATATTTGCCATTGTACACGGCAATGTGGGAGTCAATGAGTTATTAACCAACTTGGTACAAGCTGTCGACGTATTCCAGGTGAGTGTAAACGTGAAATACTTATACGGTACTTCGATTAATATGTATCTTGTAAAAATAGGAACAAAGGCGAGCCGATATTGGCGTTGAAGAAGAACGGCAAGCCAGAGAACGAGTCAAGCAGGAACAAGACAGAGCGTACCAAGAAAGTTTGGCTGCCGATAGGTAATAAAATGATCGTATTCTCTTGCACAAGATTTCATCGAGAGATATGAGTGTAATGTTTGTATAATATATTTTTAAGAGCGAAAGAAGAAGCGAAACAGATGCAAGAGGAACTTGAGAAGAGGAAAAAGGAACAGGCCGAAAACGAAAGATTAGCCGAAAAGGCGAGGAAAGAAGCTCACAGACAAGCTGTGGAATCCAGTTTGCCGCCCGAACCGCAACAGGGAGCGGGTGACGGCATAATGAAAGTAAGAGTGCGACTGCCTGCCGGAGAATATCTCGAACGTAAATTTCAGTCGGATACACCGCTACAGACGCTGTTTAACTTCCTCATCGTAGAGGGTTACCCCACGGAGGAATATAAGATACTCTCTTGTTCTGATTGGCCACGAAGAGATGTAAGTATTTACATAAAGCAAAATATGTATATTTTTTCATCTTTCAAACTTTCTCTTGCTCAAATTGAAAGAAGATTGAATTTCCGAAAGATCTTCTGTGGCCTTCCGTGTCCGAAACATGTCAATATTTGTGTTTCAGTTAACTTCGCTGGATTCGAAGCTCACGTTGATGGAACTGAAATTCTGTCCGCAGGAAACAGTAATTTTAGAGGAACGATAAATAATAATGTGTTGTAATTAAATTTAAATATAGAAATTAAGTATCGGATTAATTCGAATATTCTTAAAAAAAAAAAAAAATGTATTTATTTAACAATCTCTCGAGATAGCCAAACACACAATGAGTTCTATCTACCTTCTGGATCGTACATTTTTACGCTGAACTTTTTCCCTTTACGGTGGTGTCACGTGCATGACAAAAATGTAATTTTATTTTATAAAAAAGGAAAACGAAGCAAGTTCTTTCCAGCATATACCTATATATATTATATACTTTAAATTTCTAGGAATAAATTGAAGTCTAAAATAAGAGTTTTTTTTTTAGGGCTACTTTTTGTTTTCGATGTAAATGCATTTCAGACACTCGATAGCGGGCGATGTGAATGAAAAATTTATACACAAAAACACGCATAATTTAATAAGAATTTGTATAAATTCTCAGATGTATAAAACAAACGCAGAGAAAAAAAATCTACTCTATAACACAGTTCTCCACATCATAAATATAACGACGCGGCGAATACGATGTCTCGCTTTATGAGTTTGATCGCTTCACTGAATTTAATCTCTAGGTCTGCGTTACCAATACCTTTTGCGGCTTGGCACAATTGTCGAAGCACTTCCTCCAAGCGACGCATACATCTGATGATGGATCCTGAAAAAAAAGCGGTTTTGTTTGTATTTATGCACACATTTGCAAAAACAAATAATATTCCAAATTCTCGTTACTGCTTTAGCAACAAGATATGCCAATGTATATACGTTACCTTCAAATATGTCTGTCATTTTGCAAATTTGCAAGAACGTTGCGCCTTTAGACCAAGCGTATATAACGTCCATGAGATAAGGTTTGAACCGATCAACGTACGCGTCTTCGTCTAACTCCAAATTGGCTTCGGTCGAGACCTTCGCTATTCTTCGAGCCAGGTCCTGCATCTGTCTGAGCGGACCGCTTAGCTCCTCGGTGCTCTTGGGCATTTCGTTTGATTTTTCGTCGCATACAAAACAACTGATCAACGCCACCATTTGGGGCACGCTTAACGCGTTAAAAAGACCGTTGAAGATCATCTCGGTCATCAATAGTTCGTCGGCGCCGTTCAGTTCGCATGCTACGCGTCCTTTCAGTTCTATCACATCCGCCGACGTGCAATACGCCAGTCTTCGCAAAACTCGTTTTCTGCACTTGAGCTCGTCCATTTGAAGTATCGATTTCGCCTGTTTAAATTCCTCTTTCGCCTGCTTGAGCTGCGCAGCCAATTCCTCCTTGTGTAAAAATCGTTCGTACAATTCGTTCACATTGGGATCCTGTAAGCAGTAAATGAGAGAGTTATCTCAAAACCAAACCATAAAGAAAAAGATTGTTTTATTTAAAAAAAATAAATGTTTTCAAACATATAAAATTGCTTACTTTGTGCAAGGAATGTGCGTACAGTCGTTTTTCTAACGTTTCGATTTTTTTCACTATTTCTTTGAAAGCCTGGTCCTCTATACGCATATCTGTAATAGGATTGAGCAACGGCGGACCATCCGGGAATCTTTTCTTCACTTCGCGTATTGTTTTCAGAACGCTCCTTCTGTTGTCAGACGGTCTGAGATCCTTCGGGTAGTACAATCTGAGCGAACTGATGTGAGTGATCAGATAATGCAAAATAGGAACCACTTCCATCTCGCCTTCTTCGTCCTCGCGACACGGAATAAGGCTGGTCTCCTTAGAATCCTTCGATATGTGAAGCAAAACGTCGATAACGATAACGGTCTTGTCTTTTACCGGATTTTTTGGAAGTTTTTTCTTAAAATTCACTATGATGCCCCAATCGAACGATTCGAACTCGTTTTTCACCTGCAATTTTGCGCAATATAAAAATGAGTCGCGTCAAAAGTACGACGGTGGTACTGAATCGCGCGCGAAAATACACACTTTCACCAGTCTGCCAGGTTGTAAAAACGGAACCAGATACTCCGGCCGGGTTAAAAACGATCGGAACTGTTCTGTCAAACGGTTGAGTTGTTCGCGTATGTCGTGATAGGAAGATATCTCGTCATACCGCTCGACGGTCACGACGTTGTACGCATCGCACAGCTCTTTCACCTCTGAAAACGCAATTAAAATGCGGTCATTAAATTTTTACAACCGCTACTAATTACGAATGACGTCATCAATAACACGCATACTCACTATTGTACAAAGCTGGAATACTAGCTTGATTTTGAAACTGAAAAAAACTTCTTTCCAACATGTATTCTGGATTAATTTCTTCCACACGGAGAAGATTAAGGACCATGTTGTAGGTCAGATGAAACGCGGAATTGATCGGGTCTGGTTTACCTTGAACAATAGCCTTTCCTACGGCCGGATTTACTTGCTCGTCTATCATCAATATAACGATTCCCTTCTCGTCCAGACCTCTTCTGCCGGCGCGACCGGACATTTGAATGTATTCACCCGATGTGATCCAACGGAAGTCTTTGCCGTCGAATTTGCGCGGCGCCGTGAACAGAACAGTGCGGGCCGGCATGTTCAAGCCCATCGCGAACGTCTCAGTAGCAAAGAGAGCTTTGATCAGGCCTTCTCCGAATAATATCTCAACTGTTTCCTTCAGAATTGGCAGAAGTCCACCGTGATGAATGCCAATTCCGCGTCGCAGAAGCGGCAACAAGTTCGTGACCTGCGGCAATTTCTTGTCTTCGTCGTTAAGAACGTCCACCGCGTTGTTAAACACCTCATCCACCAATTTTTTCTCCTCCATTGTGTTCAGATCCAATTTGGCCAATTGCATCGCGTAGAGCTCGCAGTCCTTTTTCGAAAAGCTGAATATTATCACGGGTGCGAAGTTTCTCTCCATGATCATTTTTATCATCTTGAAGATGTTCGTGTGTCCGCTGTTCGTGGCGCGTATACCACCTTTACGTCCTTTCGTGTCACCCTTAGCCGCGTCCCCAGTGTTCTGCAGGCACGCCATGGCTCTGTTAAAATTGTCCTCTTTAAACTGACCGTTTTCGTCTACAACCTGTTTTACAGTAAATTTATTTCAGCGCGTAAGTCACATATTTTTTTCCAAAGCCTGTAAATGAGTTATTTGTTTTTTTTTTATGAATCATTGTTACTGACCAGATGAATGCCATCACCGCCGACTGGAAATATGTAATGCTGCAACGGAGTGGGTCTGTAGTCCGTCGATACCACGTGACAGGGTTGATTGTGCAAATGTGTCACCCACTCTGCGAATTGCCTCGCATTCGGTATGGTAGCGGAAAGAAATACATAGTGCACGTTGTCCGGCAGCAGTATAAGCGTCTCTTCCCACACCACGCCTCTTTCTTTGTCACGCATGTAATGTATTTCGTCGAATATCACCCAACCGACCTCGCGCATTACCTGATTCGTACATAAATACGTAAATTAATTAAGAATCCTCTTTCTTTTCAGTACTAATAAAAAGTAAAGTATGTGTATGCACACACTTTATTTTCATATAAAGTTATAAAAATATAAAAAAAAACAAAATAAACCTCTGAACCTCTGTACAGCATATTACGCAAAATCTCAGTAGTCATAATTAACACGCTGGCTGTTGGATTTATGGTAACGTCGCCTGTTACCAAACCAACGTCCCTAAATTCTTCATAAAATTCTCTGTATTTCTGATTGCTCAATGCTTTGATGGGAGTTGTGTATATTACTCTCTGCTTTTCCTTGAGTGACATTGCTATCGCGTATCTGCGTTATGTATAAACACAATAAAGTAAAATTTCAAAAATGATTATACTTTGAGAAAGATACTCTCTTTCTGAAAATACAAGATTCACTTACTCAGCCACCACTGTTTTACCAGCCGATGTGTGCGCAGAAACAAGAACCGACTGATTGTTCTCAATGCAAAGAATCGCTTCTTTTTGGAAAGGATCAAGTATGAATTTGTATTCTTTGGCTGGCTTGCCCTGTTTATGTTCCAGAGATATATATTCTTGGTCAGGAGGAATAGCAACTTCGTGCGTGCAAGATCTTATGGTATCTACAGTGTGTACTGTTATACGACATGCCACTTCCTCTAAACTAAATAATGTTCAATATACAAATGTTATTTGTTTATGTAATGCAACAGAACCAAAGTGTATTATTTCGCTTTTTAGAAGGTTTTTACGTATATCATATATTATTAAATAACTGAATATAATCAAAAACTATACATGTGTGTATATACAGTGACATACTTGATATCATCCAAGATAGGGTCCTGTCGGAACTTTTTTACACCTGAGATATCATCATCTTGCTTGTCACATTGTCGCTTCGTTCCTACATCGGTCTCGACTTTCCTACACATTCGTTTAATAGATAAATATTCTGTGTGTAAGAGTCACGAGGTCACGAGGTTATAGAGAGGTTAAAAGCAGAGAAGTAGATATTTCACAACGCAGAAATCATAAAACTTACTTTGCCTCTGGAATTTCTATATCGTCGCCCTGCTCGTCAAAAACGTCAAACAAGTCCTCAGAGAAATTTGCCATTATTATTTGAACTTTTTATTATCATCAAAACAAGTAACATTGTCACGCATCACGTTGGGATTTGGGAAAGATACGACTAGTTCGAATTCCCCTAATTTTCACTTTGGTTTGGAGCAGGATTGAAGGAGGGGATTGAATTTCTTGCGCATGTGCGACTCTAGTCACGAGAATACTTATGTGCTTCGATTGGTTTCGATCAGCGCTCCGACTTCCGCGCGCGCAAAAATAGGTTTTTTATTTTTTTATTTACTAGCACAACACAAGCGCGCGCTAATGTTATTTTTATTTAACGTGTTGTCAGTGAACACAACCTGTTACCGCGATGACAGATAATATATACGTCTTATAAACTATATAATACACATATGAAAAATGTCAGAAATAACGCATGAAAATCAAACTAAAAAAATAGTAAGAAAGAAAATTGGAAAAACAACACGTGACAGGGAAAAGGGTAAAAAAGAGAATATTATATATATTATATGTAATATTCTATATCTATATATAATACACACACATACGCATATATATATATATGTACCGTAATCACGTGACCGAAGTCAGTAACACCGCCGCGGTCGCGCGGCCGAGGTCAGTGACTCCACCGCAGTCGCGTGACCGAGGTCATTGACCCCCCCCCACCAAGGCCGCGCGGCCGAGGTCAGTAACCCCGCCAAGGCCGCGCGGTCGGGTCAGTGACCCTCCCCCACCAAGGCCGAGGTCAGTAACCCCGCCAAGGTCACTGATAGGATATTAGTAGTAACGATTACAAGACAATTGTCCTCCCATAATAAACATAATATATTAATCGCATTTAAAGATACATATCAAAGACAGAAACAATTTATTACAAAAATAGACAGTTTTTTATGTTACTTGTAATACTTGCATCAATATCGTGAGAAATTTATTAACTTACACACAAATAACAGATGTTTTGTAAAATACTCTTTAAAAAGATAAATAACTAACAATGAGCTCATTAAAATTTTAATAATTTAACAGATGTTAAGTAATAACGCCTTTACTAAGTTTAAACAGAATAAATTAGACGTACTTGTCGAAACAAGTTAAGACTGAAGATAAAATTACGTTTAAATAAAAATATAATTTTAAATACTCTGTTAATATGTATAAAATATATAACAAATTTAAACTGCACTTGAAATGACTGTTAATATCTCTTAAAAAAAATATACTTTGTTACCGATTAAAACTTCCACTAATTACAAAAAAGCAGTAAATAGAGAATAATTTCAATAATAATTTCAATGTATACATAAATATCAAAGTGATAAAAAAAAATACTTTATATCTCTTTGTTTAGCACAGTATAAATATTAAGACTCCTTACTGCAACCATATTTAAATATAATTGGAGTATATCTATCTAGGAGCTTCGAAGATGAAACTTTCCTGATCAATTTGTTGCGTTTTGTAATAAAACGAATTCATAAAAACTGCTTCATTAATTTGAAAATAGATGCTCTCACGGGGAAATGCGCACTCACGTCCATAACGAAGTTGGCATTATTCCCTCTACCGTGGCAGTAGCAGGTTTTAATTCCTCGTTGCAGAGGAAATTCAACGGCAAGTCTACCAAGTGACCCTGAAAAGTTCATCTCGATTTAGATAAGTCGAAATATGCGTGTGTGCAACCACATCAAAGAGAAACGCCTACCTTAATACTTTCTGCCATTTCTTGTGCTAACAACGGATCGGATGACGAAAGAGGTATTTTGTCTTGGTACTGTTTTAGCATAGCGAAATTGACTACCTTATCCGTAGGAATGCACTGAAACACTTCTTCGTAAATTTCTGTGTTTCGTTTGCTTCTAGCGCACCAGACGTCCTTGTAGAAAGATCTGATGATGGCGTCATCGATGTCGATGTCTTCCTTAGTCTTCAACAGGCCCAGATGTTCGCGAAATAATTTCTTTCTCAAAGAAGAAGCGAACTTGCCGCAAGAGAAAGGTATGTCGTTCATGCGTCCATCCTCGAACTCCTGATCCTATTTGTGCAATTATTGTAACTTTTATGTAATTAACGCAGATGTGTTATATAAAAGATACAACAAAGTTAATACGTCGAAAAATACTCACATGAATTATCACGGCTATCTCGCTGTCCCTTGTGGCGACCATACTTCTGTCGTTTATGTTTGCTGATCCGCAGATCACTGTTTGATCGTCTATTATCATCAGCTTACTGTGAACGTAGATCAGTTCCGTTACCATCGTGCCATTTAACATGGAATGAGTTCTCAAACCGTGGAATGTTATGTATTCGGTAGGATCCTCTATACCTGCTTCCATCAGCCGATTTAGAATAGCATCTTTCCCCCTGTTGTTTGAAAGAGAAATTTTATATTTGTTGTTTCTCTTCTTCAATTTGTTGTTCCGTACCTCGATATGGAAACATAATTCCAATGTGTTATCGCTCTCAGCGCTGTCCCACTAGGTCCTCCGACTTCCCCTTCGAAGCCCGGCAGTAAAGGCATCACGACGAATACTCGAAACACCGCGCCTTCTCTGTGCGCTCTCAGAATTCTCTTTAACAGTGTTTCGCCTATTCGATTCTTCACGCCACCTTTCTCCATGGAAGCGAGCGTTATGAAAAATTGATTTTCTATATAGATGTACCTACAAACACACGTATTTAGATCAGTGAAATCTAGACGCAAAAAATGCAAAATGCACAAGATCTTACCTCTCGGCGTTACTGATAGCGTGAATGTAAGCCTCCTGTATGCTCCGTTCCATCGTTTCCGAATCGAGAAACCCGGCGGACCAAGAACTCACCGATCTCAGTACTTGACACTTGACATTGTGCTTATTTGCTTCTTTGATAAACGGAGCGTAGCTCTTGCAATCTCTATACGACTTGGGCAGTAAGTAAGGGTAACACGCATTGAAATTTGCTTTTTCTAGCTATAACAGGTACCGTATCAGTTTGCAGGATCTTATCGCTAGTGAATTTGAATGTAAATTAATTATTATTGAGCATGTAAACCTTGATGGCATTCCAACGTTGTATAAAATGCCTAGCCACGTCTCTAGCAGCGGCGTTCTGCACCAAAACTCCAATGTCGTGCCACGGCATTCTAGGAGTGGTCGTTCTATCCACTAAATCTTGATAAGGCTTTTCAAGGTCATTGAAGTCTTTAACGATGAAATTTGTGTAATCTTTGCCGAGCCACAATTTCGCTGTAGAATTTAAATTGCAAGAATAATCCACCGTATCTCCATCAGATATAAAAACTCCATCACTAAATTAAAAAAGAAATGTTATTAGTTCAGTTAAAATACCGCATTAAATGACTACTGTGTTGTAATTTGTACTTCTCCGCGGCAATGGTACAAGCTGCTTCCTGCGAATTGTACATCATGTTAATGATTTCTTGTCTCTTCACTCTCACGGTGTTCTTCATTTTATCGACGGTCGTTTTTGCCACGCCAAATAGATTCTTTCTTTCCATCTCGGGAGTATTACGTTTCACATCTTTCTTCCTTTGTATCATGAACAGCGAATCATCCTTCGATAACGTCGGTAATAACATCTTTTGTTCTTGACTGTTCATCATTGGTCTTTGGAAATGAATAGAATTAACGTTTACGTTTATTCTTCCCCATAGTCGATATAACAAAGTTGACAAAACACCGAACTTACAGAAGAGGTATAGATCTTGTAGTCGCCATAGCGATAGTGTTCGTTGCAATTGCCAATGGTAAGAGCACGTGTCTCTCTGTGTTGCGAGATAATACTTTCTTACTGCTAGTGTTAACTAATCTGTCTTTTGAAGGAATGTAAATGGTTGACTGATGAATGGAATCTAAATCTGTCAATTTGTGTTCACTGTTGTCCCATCTACCGTAACACAAATCAATGCCACCGAGAAACGCCAGACATTGATCGACGGCCACAATCTTTTCGTGATGAGCCCATAAGAAAACACCCGCTCTCGCATGATCCGGATGTCTCAATACTTTTATGTTCTCAGGACACTGTTCCACAAGTCTTTGTTTACTATAATAACTGTTTATACCTAAAGCTACCTCGATTTCTTTGTATATCATTATGAATACTTTGACACCTTCAGCCTGCGAAAAAATGCATACATCTGATTTAGATAATTTACCACATGACTTTAAATTTGCAACATATGGAGTTTGACAAAAGACATACTGCTTTTCTTTGTAAAATCTTATCTAATCGCCAGTAATCCCCATTTAAAATCGGTCTTTTCATATAGATTTCCGGTGACAGCCACCAGTCGGCGATAAAAATTTCTTCTTTAGCGTTTTCTAACGCATCGGCCACAGCCGACATGTAATCGGCTCCGTCCACGAACCAAGTCGCAGATACGGGCGAACGGTAAGGTGCAAATGAGTTGTGCGGATTTGTTTGTATAAAATCCTTGCCTGTCAAAAAAATCAAATTATACTCGAACGTGAAAACGAGCCACTCACGTTTATTTCCTCAAATCGTACCTTCTTTGCTACTAACTTCCTGTATGAACTCTATCCATTCCTTGGTTTTTCGTTTCGTCCAACATTTAACGACTATGTGCCTGCTCAGATTCGCAATCTGAACTCCGGTTCGTGAACCTGTGCTGTATATTCCGGAACTGATCCCGAAACCATTATCCATCAGAATAACGGATCTCACTCTTCCATCTTGTGGATTGAGATACGCGACGAAGGTATCCTTAACTACGAGATGTCTCTTGTGCCAAGTGCCGCAAAGAGAGGTGCAGAAGTAGTTACACTTGATACAGAATCCATATTCAAACAGACGACAAAAGTTGCACCTGTTTCTACTACCTGATCCAGTCCGTTTTAGAATTGTGCCTTCTTTTCCCTTCATGCCCAAATCAGCTATGAAAGATAGGTGTGAAATATCCAAAAAATCTATCTGTAAGAAATGATAATGATGTATGAACATTTTTGTAGTTTAATAAAAAATACTGTCATTAATGAGAATATATTTACAGTATCAGGATGTCTTCTGTAGATTTCTATGTTGAGCAAATTTCCCAGATATTCTTCCAGCACCTTTCTTCTCTGATTTAACTGTTCATGAGGCACTAGGATGTCAGGTTTGTTAGGAAATCTGTAAAACTTCTCAATTGTATCTTTTCTACCGATCAACTCAGATAATATGAGAACATACAATTATCACACCTTGGTAAAGCATTACGACGTCTACCTTTCTTCTCACTTGCAGTTCCAAGATTTTTCAGACTGTTCCTCCTCTCTTTGTGGCTTTTTATAGGCAAGGGAATGTTCAAACTAGCACGATATATTTTTAATTGATTATGCAGTTGCTGAATGTGCTTGTATCGTTTTTTGATAGTCCACACAAAAGGACCGTGTCTAAATTCTATGGTGTACAGATTTGGATTCAAAGGATGCGTGGTTATACTACGCTCGTTATCTATTATTCTTACATATACTTCTTCGCCAGAAATAAACACATTACAGTGCTGACTTTTGAACTTTGGTGGATTGTGTATAACAGTGAAAGGTATTGTACCAAGGATTTCTATAAATAATGCAAAACAAAAACACACAGAACTAATAAAAAATGTGTAAAAACAAATACACAAATTGTGTGAACAAAATAAAATGATAGTCTAAATGTAAATTAAATTCACATGTATTTTAGAAATAAATGTGTAAACATGGAATTTTATTAATGACCAGGGAAAGTTTACACAGAGAAAGCTGGACACATAATGTTAATGACAAAGATCAATCTATATTTCTATACAATTATTATACCTTTATTATCTACACATTCTATGTCTTCCTTTTGAACTTGTACCGTCTCTCCATGCTCATCAACTGTTATTTCTAATGAATCAGGTACTTCCAAAGCATCATCGTATTCAGACTCCTGTGACAGCATACGAGTTAGTCTAGCAGACGTGGTCTCGGCTTCTTCATTAGACATTTTTGCAGATTTCTATAAAATTTCATCAAGAAAGCAAAATGTTAAAACCAATTTCATTTAAATATCTCAAACACTACGTATGACAACGTAAATAAACAGATCATCAAACATATTGTTACACCGATAACGTCACCAATAAGACGCTTTCATCAGAGAACCTTACGAGAAATCTTCATTTACTCCATGAAGAAAAACTTATCATATGTTACCAACTTATCTAACTAAGTTTCTCTGAATACAAATAAGTAATTTACCTTCAAAATTTTCACGCAGGACACAATTCTAGCCTAAAAACGTTTCGCCGATAGCGCATCGTGCGCGCTACTGCACAGTTGATTATTTTTCTCAGAAGTCTTACCGACCACGCATTGTTACAACAAAAGAAACGCTCGAATTACTTAAGCGAGACACAATCGTCATGATCGCCACCACTACTGACTATTACGCGCGGATTACGCTAGATTACGCGTCTCCGTCAAGGCGCGTTATTCATCGCGATGACCGATGACGGTTGGCCGGACTCACACCGGACATACAGACCCGCTCACATCATCGACCATTTTATTCGGCTATCGTGCTCATTTATACATGATCGCTTTTTGTATTTCAAATTGAACCGCGGCCTGAACCGGAGTTGAAGCTTTCCGGGAAAACGAACGAAGAGATCGGAGAAAAATAGACACACAAATAGAAAAGGTGCAAAGAGTGCAGCTTTTGTTTTTCGTTCAAACAAAGAGGAGGAGGTTCAAGAGTCTTCGACGAGCTCTCGCGGAAAAGCACGGAAGAAACAATCGCCTTTTCGTCAAGATAGTCATGAAATTTCACATCTCCGTAGTACATACAAATGAAATGTCTTTGAATGTTTTTTACCGACAACCGGAGGACGCAACAAATGAGAGTAAGTCGGTCTCGATGGGTGAGCGAACGCGTGATACAACTATTTTTCTCCAAGCTTGGAAAGTTCTGTGTGTATTTTTCGATTATTTCTTTGAAAACAAAAAAAAAAAGAAAAAACAAAACAACCACCCTGAAAAATGGAACACGTGTGTAACGATGACTTGTGAGATTACTTATGCACAACCGAGAAATCGTGTTCGACTTTTCACTTCCTTCACAACGTCGCATATTCAAACGCAAAAGTAGAGTGCGCGCGCGCGCGCGCGCGTACTCCGGGGCGTGTATTTATGTCATCGCCGTTTAATACCCGTGCATTAAAACAAACGGGCGAGCAAGTACATCACGAGAGCAATTGGATCGTCATTTTCTCCTTTATCCGACTTTCAGTCGATCACGCATTATTGATCCTGATCGTCTACGATCTATTTTCTCGATCGTTAGACGATCAGGAGAGAAAGCGACGCGCGCGATGCGCGCAACGAATGGGTTTCTTCTTATCGGACGCGCTCTTTGTCGTGCGTTCAATTTTTTTTTTATATCGGTATTTTATTGCTAGCGAATTAATTGCGCGCACAACTCTCTCTCCAAAAGCAATAACCGTTGCTTTCCTTCCTCTCTTTACAGACGTCCGAAGTAATTCAGGCGACACCGATTTGGACTAATTTTAGATAATTGATCAAGATCCTTGAAGAAAATGTCTGCGGTCGGACGTCCTTGAAATTTGTTCTGCATAATTCGGGGACCGCTCCTTCGATGCCTTTGTTTCGAATTGTCTCACCACGTGTGTTATCTCGAAAAAGAGGTTAATGCGAAGTCAGGTATGAGCCACACTTTTACACACATATATATCTTGATTCTTTGTTAACAATGTGACTTTTATATGTTCTGTGCGTGTAATTGAAACAATATCTGTTTCTGAAACGATAAAGAAAGAACAAAAACACAAATATTGTTTAATTGCGTTTAAAGACAAAAAAAAAACGTTAGATATATTTTGTTGCATGTTGTTGCACATTATAAGCTAATCGAGGATTACCACTTGACTGAGATAAAAAATGCGACCCATATCAAAAAATGTAATCTTATATCTGATTAAACGCTTCTTATCGCGTTTGTGAATCACATTAAAGAGTTAAAATCTTATTATTTAGTCTCTCAAATGTAATATCACTTTTTAACAAATTTTAGCAAGTTGTTTAGAGACTTGTGACTTGATACAATACATTGCAATAGATTCTCAACAATCTGTTACAAATTTTAATTATCTATTATTCAAATTATAAATTAAATTAAATTTTGTACTATGATAAATAAAACATTTTCAGATTGAGATGACTATTGCGAAGGATCATGCCGGTCTGGTTCGGTGTCGCTCTGATCACTGAATGTGTTTTTCACATCAGCGATATAGAGAGTAACACCAGTAATAACGATAGCCGGTGGCGATAGCGATGGTGATAGGCATGACAGCAACCGGCCGTGGTGGAGGTGACGGTGGCGATGGTGGTGATCGCCGTGGTGGTGGCGGTTCTACATTCGGGCGAAAGGGAAAATGCCTGGTCGAATGGCTTTTTTTTCTCCCCCGTTGGCGAGCGGGATTTTTGACACGGCCTGCCGTTCGATCGACTTGCATTTGTCTCGTAGCATTCTACCGATCCTCGTCCTCGTCCTGCGCAGCGAGAAACGCGCGAAAAATCGGCGCGTCCGAAGATGCGTCACGTGCCATCGTCCTACCTGATTGGATCAAGCTCGATTCGCGCTGATTCTTAAAATTCTGTGATCGTGACAACTATTCTCGGTTGTTACCGCCTAGTTCCGCGACGCTTTCTTGTACGACGAAATTTCGACAAAAAACACCTGGTGACCGTCTCCTCGCTTCGAAAACGCCGCGATTCGTTTTATTTATTACGACCCGCCAAGTTTCTCCGCTTAATCCGTTATCGGAGAAAGTATTACGGATTGCCAGGGCGAATTGTGCTGTGGTGACTTGAAATGAGACATAGGATTAGACAAGATCGACGCTAGCTGCAAGGTGAGCTATGATCAACACTGTGTGTTTTTTTAAACACACTGCATTTTGCAACGTTTGCGTTTAATGTGTGAACAATTTGACGAACAAAACAATATTTATCGCAAACAAAATTATTTATTTCGATTACGTAAGAATAACAAATTGAAAGTGTCTGTTTTTATAATAATTTTCTCATTAAAATTACGACGAAATTGTTATTGTCAATAACTCGCCGTCGTTCGTTATGATTAATTTTCACGCGGCCCCAAAAGCGCGCGACTCTGTAACGAATCAGGTTCAGCATAAACTGACCGTTTCTCGCAGACACAACTCGGCAGACCACTTTCACGTGCGCAAACCGCCGCAGATGTATGACCTCCGTTTTCTTACGTAAAAGTCGGGCACCCAATGTAATCATAAAAACGAACAATCGCTGAAACGTCGAAAATTTATCACTTCCGTCCTAGCAGCAATTTATATTCGACATGGACATTTATCCATTCGGACGATGACTCGAACATGATGTCTCGGGTCGCAAGAGCATCTCGGAGAGTTTCTTCTCATTAGTGTTTCACGCTTGCAAACCGTCAATTTCGATTATTAACATATTGCGCGTGAAAGAAGATGAAAGCGAGAAGATCATCATAGACGTGCTATGATGTTTTTCACTTCAAATTGTTCATTGAAAATTCTATTATATAATCACTAAAAAAATTATTAGTATCTTAAATGTGTAATGTTACATAAAGCGTCTGTTACGGTGCAGTTTCAGCGCGTATGTAAGTTATTCTAAACACACATCCGTTTGCTTTCTAACAAATATATAATAAGCCAATTTTTTTACGGGTTTATAATTTCTCTAAAAAAAGACTTTACGTGTTGCAAAACTGCTGCTCTCGGGAAACAACGCGATACCGTATCGCCGATCATGTATCGCGTGGAAAGAATTTTATACTTTCTATCGGCGCGTACATAGCCATACGAATAAATGTGAGAAATTTAAAAGTCGGTGATTACGAAGCTCGATTATTTGATTCCCGATCGCACGCGATCTCTAGCCTACCGCTTCTTTATGTTTTTTTTCTTTTCCCAGACGGCATTATCCGCTCGCGTGTTCTCTCGCCTGAGCGAGAATATTCGACGGATGTGTAAACAAATGTTCGCAGAACAAATTATTCGCTTATTGTGTCCGCGTTGTTGGCCACGTTCGGGAGCTCAAGTGGACAGAATCGCAAGACAATGTCGCATTCTCTCGCCACCCGCGCGATTACTTGCAGAAACTGAATGGAACAAATGTAACACAATCGCCGCCGGATGATAATCAGATGGATAATAATAGCGCGCAATTGGCGTATCTCATCGATCCTTTTATTCTCATCACGACGCGCTTCCATTCATCCGCGCGCCCAATAAAAGGCGCTCGTCCGAGTTATCGATCATCGTCACGATCGATTTATTCACGGTGGATTGAGATTCGAATCTTTGCTTCTGATAATTCATTAATGATATTCATCGGACGCTTTGATGTTGCGACGGATATCTAAACGATACAAATGCGAAAAAGTTTGCGTTTTAAAACGCAAACCGCGCGTGGAGATCAATTACTCGCGATCGATTACGCGAATTGTCATGGATTATAAGCTTCTCATTTCCCGCGAGTGATGTAACAAATTAATCGTTGAGAGTTGTACGCGTGTTGTTTATTTCTCTAATGTAATTTATCTTGATGTTTTATCAAGAAAACTGGGCGAACCAGAATGCGCGTTCGCGCCTGTTGCGCGAACATTACCCGCGCGGCTATGAAAATGAACAACACGTAACTCGATATGGTAACTAACAGCCGGCAAGAGTAAAAGTAAATTTGAGCAACGCTCAGGCAATGCTTGCGTTTGGTCTTGTGTGCGCATACAGTGAACTGACCCAAGTACACTAGGTGTGCAGGTTGAAAGGCACTTGAACGGCGGCTGCAAAAACAGACTTCAAAAACCTTATTGTTGTTCAGGTGTCAAAAGCGTCTTACACTGATATGACACGGTCAGATGTCGCGTTTACCGCGGAAGGGAATAAAGATCGTCGAGATATCTTCGATTATTTTGAAGACGGAAACGCAAACATAATAACATGTGAATGCTTAAAGATAAATTAACATCGTCGAATTTGTGATGTTTTCACTTATGAAATATTTTCGTTAGAAACAACTCTATTTTTTCTACATGTATTTAACATATGATCTTTCTATGAGTAACCTTTTGATATTTTTTTTTAGAATGGCGAGGACGTTTTCCTTGAGCTTGGTAGTGGCGTTGCTGCTAGTCTTCGTCGTTATCGAGGCCTCTCGTGGACAGACTAATCAGGTGAGTAATTACCGAACAGCGCAATCGCGCACGATAAAAAATACATTTAGCACATTGGAAAAAAAAAAGAAGAACGAGAGCTCCAAATCTTGCGCGTTGAAAAACGCTTGTACGTAGTTTTAACATCAGCTGCGTTTCGCGTGCAAATTGACACGCGAAAAGTGAACAAGCGCGCGAATCCAAAAACTTGCGAAAGAGGAGCACGGGGGGAGAGCGCAATTATTTATTTGCGCGTGATATAAACTTGGGAAACCGATAAGATCCGTTTTAAACACCTTTTGTGTCAAGGATGCGTACTTAACGTTTGCAACATTGCGCTGTGATTTTCCTTCCTTCGTTTTTCTTTTTCTCTTTTTTTTTTTTTTTTTACCACGAAGGCCGTCGACCCAGCGGAACGAGTCGATTCGTATTATTCGACTGAATCGCGCAGGTGAAGTTGCCTGCATGCGATGAACGTTGCTCGGTAATTAGAGATCGGGAAAGGAAGCAGTTCCTTATGATAATTACTTGTATAACAAAGGAAAAGAAAAACTAACTCGTCACGAATGATTCACGACGTTTTATCGTTGAAATATACGCGCGGCGATAAATCGTTTTCGATTGTGTGCAGACGAGACGTATTTCAAACCGCGCGACAGAACGTTCGAAGTGTTAGCACAGTTCGTAAAAATTATTAATTACACATTAAATTACACGTCGCATAAATATTAAAATCTTTATTTGTACGAAAGCGAAATGCGCTCTCTCAAAATCTTAGCGGAAATTTCTGGCAAAAATTACGCGAGATATCGAATTTATTATCGACGCGATTAAGATATACTTGGACATTCTTCGTGTAGAAAAACGCATTTCTCGCGTTATAAAATCGCTCGGATACATTAGCCGAGATCTAACTGTAATAACGCGTGGATGAAAATGAAAGTGCGAATAACTTGGATTGTATAAAAGAGAAACTAAGAAACACGCTGCAATTTGTCAATGCGCCAAGTCGTCGTCATCTTTTTTCTGACGGTCGTTCGACTCGCAAATCAAGTTCGGATTCGCAGATTGTTCGTTTTGCATTAGCCTAATAATAATGCGATTGCCAAGTAGGAAGATCTCTCGGACGCGCTTTCGCCGAGACTCTTTCACCAGGCAAAAGGTTGGACCGACACATTTCGAGTTCCGACGTTCACAAATATAATCGTCTTTCTCTTATCAACAGATTTATCCGAATGTCGTAAGGATCTTCCGGAAACTCGTTTCTCGTTGCGCGCACAAGTTTGTTGTCACGCGTGTGTGTACATTGATTACATAATGACGATCATTTCTGACTTAAGGATGTCATTTGACGCTTGACAGAGACGCTTAAATACCATTTCGTTTGACAAAAGGAAGTTGCGATCTGCGCGACCGCCTTTTATGAGGTCAAGTTTATCTGTCTCGAGAATTAAAAACAAACTAACGTTAATTGTTATTGATTATTTCCAAATTGGTAATTTTACTACCTTTTTTTCAGAGAGACGTCGCGAGAGAGTCCATTTTTACCTCACGTCGCAAAACGTCAGCCCGTGTATTTGCTAGAGAAGCGACGAAGTTTTGGCTCGAACACGAATTTCTTCTTCGATACTACTATTCGTTTTTGTGCAAATTAATCGTGCGCGATAAAATATATCAATCGTTTCTCTCTTCTCTATCTTCTCCCGAAAAAAAAAAAAAAAAAACGCGAAAGTTGCACACGTCCAACTTCCGCACGTGTCTCGCCGCTTATCTTTTTTGCGTACAAATGTCAGCTGTGATATCCGCTCGATATACCGTTTTATCTGTCATATCTAAATCAGTTCTACTTCTCGAGCGATTGAATTCCGCGCGTTGAAGCCGGTTAACTGTACGTATCGTTAATTATCGTCAGAGCTATGTCCGTCGCGCAGGTGCTTCAGCCGTAACACACAATGCGCTTGAGGTTCGAGCGAACTGTAATCGGTAATCCGATACGCGGAAATTTTCTCGGCCGCTCCGTTTCTCCGCGCTCCGGGTTTTACGAGACGGCTAAGTGTTTTTTGCACGTTTGGAAACGCTCGATCGTGTAATGGCGTGTAAATTATGAAAACTCGCAACACAGATGCAATTTGACTTTTTCGGAAGTTCGTTACATTTTTTTTACATAATAAAACAAAACGATAACAAAACTACTTTGCACACACGATTGGTCTCATCTCGAATAAGTAAATGTGTTGATTAAAATTCGCAAAATTCTTGTCGACCGCGAGAGAGAGACACGTTCTTTCATGTTACATCATTAACTAATTACATATGAATTGTGATTGTTTAATTCTCGCGCATTTATAGAAGAACATACAGAAACAGAGCTCGCGTGCCACCACATATAGTGCCAATGCTGACAGACACACACACACACACACAGCGCAGAGAACAGAGCATGTACATATAAATGGAGTGAGAGGATTAAGAATAAAAAAAGAGATCGCAAGTTTGCATGGACCACGCCTATAGTCGTTCGCCGTTCGCTTTTAACGAACGATATGTGCATACCGCGTGATCCAAAATATTTTCTCCATCCTTGCGACCTAGTTTGAACGTTGGTGTATTTTTGTCACGGATATATAACGTCGGTTGAAATCGACTTACACGGCGCGAGAAAAAGATCAATTCAAGTTGGACGAATAAAAATTGGCTCGTTCACTCGCAACTGCAAGAAGAAAACGCAGAGAGAAGCTCGCGCGCGCGATATCGAAATGATGAAATTCTTGAATAAAATAAAATTTTTTGCAAATAGCATCGGTTTGATATTCACGATTGGTAACGCGTGTTTCCTCACGATCCTCGTAATTAATTTGCACATCGATGTTCGCTTTTCTTATCGGATCTAATGACACGTTACGTAAATGCATAAAGACCGCATTTCTCATTCCAGTTTTTCATTCCAGGACAGTTTTTGCGCCGTTGTATAAATGTAATGGCTCTTTACAAATCATCGCACCGACGTCCTCGCACCGACATCTTTCGTCATAATAACGGATAATGTCTGCGTTACGGTATGAAGAGATCTGTCGATTAGTAAATCATCCCGCCGCCGGAAATCGGCGCACGGTTCAAGGCGGACGCGGTTCTGCAAAGAAGACACGACGCTTTTTACCCTCGCGATCAATATCCGCGGATTTACACCAGAAGATCGCTTCTGAGTTAGAAAAATATGAACTTAATATAGACAATACTCGGTTTTGTGCGCAACTCTCGGACTCCTGCTGCTCTTCGCTGAAACGCGAAGCGAGAGCTTTCGAAACGGAGAGCTTCTCAACTCTCTCGCACGACGTCTCTCGTCGCCGTCAGGTCGCAGCGAGAGACCTTTATAATTAACACAGACGCGGGTAACGCAATATTATCCTAGAAATACGATGCGATCTGTATCTAAAAAAGGTCGTTACACGTCAGAATCGAACGTCAATACACTCCAGTTCGAGGGAGTATTTCGTAATTTATAATCAACGTCTCGTTGCCCTCGTTTAATCCCGATACATTCACACGTACACGCGTATAACATACACACAGATTGTGTGCACTACGTGATAAACGCGCGTCGCGGCTTGATGATGTTTTATTGCGTGCGTGTGTACGGATACACACTGAGCTGATAAGACCTTACAGACGGATGTGGCACGTTGCACAAGCGCGCACGAACGCGATTTAAATCGAGAGTTTTCCGTCAGAGAAAGCGCTTCTTCCTCGCGTCGTTCACTTCGGCGTACTTCCCGATTCGTCTTGTCGCCTTCGGCTTTTCTTATTTCCGGTCGATTTTTTCCCCAAAACGATCAAGCTTGTAAAAAAAGGAGAACACGTGTGAAAATAAATATCGGGTTGAAAGAATTGGGTCAAAATTTGTGCAACATTTCGCAACTGTAGATTATGCAAACATTCGTATCGAACGTAGCAATTTTACGGAATGGTCGCGCGGCGAAGCTCTGATATTCTATATTATTTAAATTCAGTGACGCGCGCAAACGCAATTGTATAATGATTTCTTCATATTTTATGCAATATCGCCGTCTCTTGCGCGCGTTAAAACGAATTGTTACAATAACGACTCACTCGTACACACCGAACGTCTGGGAGTCTGAAATCAATTGTAACGGCGGCAACGCGGTAAAATTTATACTTTTTCTCAGTCTTGAAATCCGTAACATTCGAAGGATGATCTTCGTTTAAACGCGTGAGAACGAGCGTTTATTGTTTCCCGTAAGCTGAATCAGCCTGTGTGAGAAGCGCAAACAACACGTTGGATCTTTTATTGTTGAGAATTGAAAAGTAACTTCTCAAACCAATAACGCTCCTAAAGGAAATAAAATCTGTCAGGAAATAAATAACTTTGGATTAAAGAAGAAAAATCGCCGTTACGCGAATTTCTCATCGCGTCCCGAAGAACTTAATGTCTCTTTCGAGAAAAAAAGCACTTTCTCTTTTTTTTAAATATTTATTTCCGGATTTCGTAAGCGAACGCTTAAAAATCTAGGTTACATTTCGATATTGTGAGGATAAAGAACGTATAAATTCAAGATACGTACTTCAGAACGCACAGATTGATTATACGATAATGAATGTGAACTGTCAGGATTAAATTAGCCTAGTCACAGTCCTCATGTGCGCTCAGCTTAGCGATGTTCGACATGCAAGCGCCCTTCAAGCGCGCTTCGGTTTCGCTTATTAACGAGAAATGTGTTGCTTTTATAATATTGTATTGCAAAACTCTTGCTCGCGTCTATCAGAAATTATTGCAGGCGTTCCAATCTACGATTAGGTACCTGCAATTATTTATCGTCGATCTACAATCATGTTCAACGCGGATTACTAAATACCCCAATCTTCTAGGACTGATGCGAATTCAATGCTGTCTCGCGTCGATTGTCATTTTACACGTAAATATACTGTAATTGAAATGTGCCAAACTCTTTGTCATCTACGTTTGAATATCGCAGTAACTTCGAGATACTGTTATTGTGTGCAGACATAGAAAACACGACGTAAAACAGGTATAGGAGAAAGTGAAAGATGATCTCGTAGTAATACGAAACCAGAAAAAAACTACTTTTGGACTCGACGAGACCACACCTCTGAAACAAGCCCAAGATTCGACCAGATTTCTAGGTCGCTCGCGCGACCCACAATGCGGCTACACACCTGTGTACAACTTGTACATGAACATATGCACGAAGACAAATTTTATAAAATACTCTACAGTTGATGTTTGACAAGGACGCAGAATGTGATAAATTATTAACGGGATGATGTTGTGTCGTAAAACGATTGCAAGAAGTCAATTTTATTTTTTTTATATGAGTTGGCAAAAAAAAAAAATAGAACAAGCAACAGCTGCGAACTTTCGCAAGAAGCGATACAGAAAAGGTTGTTTTACTAGTTGAATTAAAAGCAGGTTAAATAACATATTAATATTGCGAATACCAAGGACAAGGCGCCCGGACGTAGACGACCCTCTTGGATTCGACGGTGCAGAAGTAGTCCACCTTCGGGCGAGAACTCCCTCTCACTCACTGCTCAAATAACTTTTCCGACAATCGGCGCGTACTGCAATTGCGCAATGACGTCCGAACATTTCAAAAATTCTGTCGATCGCGCGAGTGTCATACCTTGAAGTTAATTTTAATTTCGACTCTCTCTCTTTCTGATCTCGATATCGTTCTCTCTACACACGCCCGTTTACACTAGCCCGTCCCGGAACTTAACTCAGGACACTCCCTCCAATCGTAAACTCTTTTACGATTCCTGCGGCAGTTTTTTTTGACGGACGTTTAATTGCACGCTATGAGATGCGGATATCATTTTACGTAACTTCTTTTTATAACTGATTTTTAATTATAGATTACCGATCTCTCGCAGAAAAGAATATCTAAGTGACAAATAAGATTTAATGTTTTTTTTTTGCGAAACAACTTTAAAGACTAAAATTGCGATATTTCACCGAGACGTCGGTAATTAACGTCCAATCACTGTTCCTCAAAGATTTTCTCTTGAGTTGTTTAACGAGCGCTTAAGTTGCTGACACTTCATCTTTCTTATGTCATCGAGCCCATTCAATCTGCATATTGCTCGCAAAGAGAGTACATCATTTCCTAATTATCTGCTTCGCGATTACACGCAAATCCGATCCGAGCAGCGGCTTCGCATTTAGTAGAATATCTTGGCGGAGTAACATAGCGTGACGACTTACACATCGACTTTTACTTTCAGTACCTGCTGATTGCAAGACGAAGTGCAGATCTAACGCAAATTCGCAAGCCACGAAATTTTCACGACCGTTTTTCCAAAAAAAACAAATCTCGTGTTTTTTTTCTCTGATCACATTCAAGGTCCCGCCTTCCCCAAAATCTGTGAAATCTGTGACGAATTTTCTGCGTCGATCGTTTGATCTCTCTGTCCGAATAATAAATTCGACGGTTTCGTCACTTCGTTTCGCCGACCAATTTGACGAAGAGCCGCGAAATAATCCGATACGAGAGACAAAAATCGATCACGTGAGAACGACACGTCCGGGTCGTGCCTTATGCAAACGTCCAACATCGCAAGCAAGTCCGCGAGGATTAAAACAAAGGAAAAAAAAAATTAGCGAACGAAGAATGTGCACGCTAGAGTCATTTTCCTCCGAGCCTCAACGAGGGTCGATGCAGTCACGAATGATTTAATACCGCTTATTAACGCGGATGGTTGAAGGTATAATTTGACGAGGAAGCCTCCTCAACTATTTTTCTAGCTACAAAACTGGAACCGCCAATTAATCGGATCCATTGGACGTTATTGTCAACGACAGCCGATCGCGATCGATCGAGCCGGGTTATTACCCGATTTAATCGTAAATACCAGGGGATCCTCTTAATCGCGTAATTGCTACCTTTGCCCGCGATTTCGTCAGATATGACATCTTCGCAATACGCGACCTGTCGCGTATCTCGCTGCGATTTTTCTCTCTCTCTTTCTCCCGACGATGGTGTCCGGATTTCGATTACGTGATACGCTCCGTCTGTTTCAATTGAGGCATAACGATCGCGACTTCTAAGTGCACGTTGAATTAAACAATTATTGCTATCGAGTTCATCAATCACTGGAAACATGGAAACTACGATGTATATCTCGAAAAGCAACATTTAATTTACTTTCTAATTTGTGCAGTGACGCGAGAAAGAGAGAAAATTCTCTTGTACTTTTTTTTTTTTTAAACAATATATTAAGTATTTTTTATTCGTGTATTTATTTATTAATGTCGGTTCAATTGACTTTGTTTTTAGGAAAATGGACAGAAAATACAGAGTCGCGGCACCACGCGATACAATTCCAAACCGACGACGACAGAACCGAGCGTTTCCACGTCAACGATCAAATCGCAACGCGACAAGAGTTCGTCCCGCTCGGAAGCGGCTTCCAACTTGAGAAAACACAACGAGACGCATCTCGCGAGAGAAAGTCCGAGCAGATCGTCCAATGCGAGGTCGTTAAAAACTATCGACCCGGTCGCTACGTCACGCACTAATTCGAGACACGTGAATCCCGGCGATACCTCGCGAAATCGTTCGAGATCGCACGTGATACCCGTCAAAGAAGAGGTGACGAAGAACAGGCAGAGCGACAACCAGGAAAACGTGTCCGAAACGCAAACGCCGAGACGACAGACGGCCTCAAAACGAATATCCTCGGACGCGTCTCTCGTTTGGGTGGATGACGCGAAGCTCGAACACGAGGTGTTCACGAAATCGCCCGGACAGTTCAGATCGAGAACGGGAAGGAAGATTTACAACGAGAAAGAAACGAGACGGACAGTTCCGTCGACAACAACTGAAAGCGTGGATAAAGTCGGAAGACCGAGCGGCAGATCGGAAAGCGAACAAACGCGACCGGAAAATTTACAAACGATCGAGAACGTTGGTTCTGCAAACGCATCGAGAAAAAAAGATGTAACCGCGGATGTTACTCAGGATAAAATAAAAGATCGCGATGTTTTGCTGTCGGGCTCCGAAAGCGTCAGAGTGGACATTCCTCTGGCAGTCAGAAACGACGAAGACGCCAATCTTCTGACTACGATCTCGTCACCGAGACAAACCGCGAGACCGATCAAGGAGAAGAACAGCAACGATATCGCGAGATCGAAGAAGACCAGACAATCCGACCGGTCGAAATCCCGTGGTAGATCGCCGAATGAGTCCAATACCGAAACAGCAAATTCCACAGGAAATTCTCGACGAGGTTCGTCCAAGTTCGACGGCACTGCGGAAACGAACGAACGATCTTCCAATACGAGACACAGATCGAAGAACGCCGGTTCTAGAAGTCGTTCCAAATCGAGAGATACAAATGCGACCGAAGGAAGAAGTAGAGGCAGAACTGTCGATTCCGAGACCAATGGACGAACGGAGACGCGACGTGTCGGTTCGTCCACTGACAGACGCGCCGGAAGCGAAGGAAAGCGAAGAACGAAGGACGGCAGATTGAAAGTCGCGGAAACTAAAGTGGAGCAAGATGCTCGAACGCAGTCCAGAAGTCGGTCGCGTTCTGCTTCCAGCAATCTCGGTGAGTTTGTTCTTGTTGCTTTAATTTAAAAAAACTTAAATATATTTGTTTGTAAACACACGCATAAATTTACACGTGTATTTTTTTCGCAGACGTCGTGACTACCGCTTTCATTCCGAAAGTGACGATCGCCGAAACCACGACCGTACCCACCCTGGAGACGGAGATTACAACAGCCGCTTCCGTCTACACGACGACAAGATCGTCGACAGTCGCGCGAACATCAACTTCAACCGAACGAGCTTTTCGAAACAAGGGAAGAGGAGAAAGTTCTTCTTCCCGATCGAAGAAGCAATCGAAGGAGGACTTCTTTAATCACGGTCTAGGCTTTCGCGGCCGAAAGATTGGCTTGACAGAGGGAACGTCTTCGAGCGTTGCGGATTTAAAGGCCACCACGCCGAAAAGCGAGACGCAATTACGCGGCAATCCCGGGTGGACTCTCAGACGCCGACCCAGTCACGTTGGTCACGATGCTCCTCCGACCACTACCTTTACGTCAGTTAATCGGGACCAGACCAACGAGATAATCTCGCCGACCGAATCATCGAGTGGCACCGAAACGCCGTCGTTGAATAACGCAAAATCTGGAAGAAGAGGCACGAAGAAGCCAAAAGCGAAAGACGAGAGCGACACCGTATCACCGAGCGTCACGACGAAGAGCGTGACAAGAGGAAGCAAAACTTTCAGCAAATCCGAAGACGCCGTTCTGCCGAAGAAGATAGAAATCGAGAGCGACAATTATCCTCCCGCGTTTCGGGCCAGACTAAATCAATTGGTGAGCTTGAATTGATTCAAAACAATCTGTTTTTTTTTTTTATAAATATACACATTTCTCGTGTTTTACAATTTCTCTCGAGTTATCTCTAAATCAATCAGCGACGAAAAAACTCAGTCGAAGAAATAATTTCAGAAAAATTCTAACACAAAATCCATCGGGGTTCAGACCACAACCAGAAGCAGCGTCCAGGTAAGACACTGGCTCCCTCTCGCAAATCTCAATCTAATCAATAATAATTTTGTACATTTAACAAAGTAACAATTCATATAACATTTTGTTTTTTACATCCGATCTTTCTCAAACTCGAGTCACTTGGATGCAATTAAAAAATATTAAAATTAGCGATACTTTGGCATGAAGTAGTACTTGGATCTTGAATTCTCTAATTCGTGAAAACGTTAGCATGACGTCACTCACGACGATGAGTGCGTAAGGGGACTGATAGAGAAGTAAAATCGAATTAATAATGGTGGTGTCTCTTTACTACCCGACATCTTTCTGTGTAAATTTTTATACATAGTATAAAGCTTGGAATGCCCCTTCTACGTAGGAACATCTAAAGGAACGTACGTTACGTCGGCATGCGCGGTCCAGCACGATGCATGTATCCGAAAAACTCGAAACCGTGGGAAATGCGTTTGCGACAGACGTAGTCCTAGACGCCAACCCTACGAATTCCCTAACTTCGTTCCCCGGTCAAGACACGCGACACGTAAGAACAAAACGAGTATTAATGGCAGATTGAGAATTTTGCGCATTGAAAAAAAAAAAAACCAAACTCGCTTCACCACTCCCCATGCGTTTCCCATGCTTCGGAGATTTTTTCGCCATCCCCATGGTCCCAGACAAACGTCCGCTCTGACGAAGAAGTGTTGTCACTTCTCGCACATATTTTTTTAATCTTTTCCAAATTTAAGATAAAAAATTGCAAGTAAGAAAAAAGCTTTAATTTCATTTTTTACCAAAAAAAAGTAATCATTAGAAACAATTTCCTTGCAATCAGTCATCGAATTACGACAGCTTCTCGAAAGTTACTACAATCGTCGCACAACAGAGTAGAAACAGAAAGGGAGAAAGTAAGGATGGTGTGTTGTGGTAATTACATATATATATATATATATAAAAAAAAAAAAAAACAAACTCGCACGCAAACGCATCATCAAGAACCAATCAGAACTGGACGATGATGCGTCATTAATATATTTGCGATTGATTTAGCACCAGTAAAGCTTGTTTATAGTGATCGGGTGATGGTAAAGCATAATCGGAACGGAACGATCTTAAGGAAACCTGCTCGTTCGCGGGAAGGCTTTCGAAATGTGTCTGCGGAGACGCTTTAGTGGACACGGGCGCAACAATGAACATCCAAACGAGACTGGATCGAAAACGACTCCGTGACGCAAGGAGTGGCGAATCCTCGACGAGAAGTTCTCTCAAGATGTAATTGAAAGAAAAAAAAAAAAAAAAAAAAAAAAAAAAAGGAAGAAACTTTAAGTGTACGTTACAAAGTATCCGTTCGACGCGGTCTTTGATCGCGGACTTTACTTTGGTATTTTATGAAAAGCGATTGGTAATGAATAGATGCGTTTAAAATTGATGTACAATCAA